CACACTTCACAGGCTCTCTCTGTCCTCTGGCACGCTCACTCCAGACCCGTCGCCATCTTCCGGAACTTCATTCTCATTTAGAAAATACCTCTGTGTAATAGTATAGAATTGAACTTATTTTCTATGTTCAAAGTAAAAAAAGTTATTTCTTCACATTTCAGAAATTTATTCCGTTTTCAAATGACTCTAAGGAAATTACTAACAGGGCCACCCATACATGTAGCAAAAGTAAATATCTATGAATGGTTTTCTGGAAGGCTCTTTACTCAGATTGTGGTAGGCCAATCTATGAGATTCTACCACTAGGTCTTTTCTTAGTCTTTCTAGTTAAATTTCATATGTTATCCGGCTGGAAGATGCAACTCCCTAGAAAGGGGTCACACTTGAAGCAGCCATTTATAGCTTCCAGTGGATAAGTTATAATTCCTTGTCTGGGTGGCAAATTCAGGGGAAGCAAAAGAAGGGGTTGAGTATAGGGGTAAAGGAGGTGGAAATGGAAATGAAGGTGAAGGTTCTAGAAACCTGAATGGACTAATAATGGGAAAATAATTCTGAACAGCTGCTTGCTGAATGGCAGGGATAATCAAAGACTTGCTTCATCCTTCCAAGCCTAGGGATTTGCATGGCATGGTTCCTGTCCTGGTAGAGCTCTTCTGCATCTACAGTGCAAAGTTAATAAGTCCCTTGGTAAATGAAGGCTCATGGTAAATGAAGATCTTATTTTGGTAGAGGGTTATACCATTACAAAACTTTCATATATGTTCCTTATTTGATTCTCAAAACAATTCAACACAGGGTAGAAAACTATCCTCATTAAACTTTGATAAAAGACCTAGACTAGCATGCTTCTTTATATTCTATTCTAAAATAGTAATGTGGTAGTCAGTATCATCATGATTTTTTTTAAGGAAGCGTTAGATTTAAAATAGTTATCCAAATGTGATATTTACATGATAGAACATTTTGAACATTATAGCTATAAAATGCAGTCAGTAAAATGATAAAAACAATGTTAATGATGAAGAAAGATTTCAATGATGAAGAAAGATTTTAATGATATATTTAGTGAAAAAATAGTTGGTAAAATATTTCATAGACCATGACTTTAGTTTTACAAAAATATGTGTATGTTATGGATATATTCATAAACAAAATGTATGGTGAGGATGGTTGATTATTCCTGGGTGATAGGGTTTTAAATTCCCTTCTTTTTGTTTACATACATTTTCTAACTTATTTAGCATGAACATATGTTACTTGTGTGGTATCGTGAAAGGTTAAACTGTGAGTGCCTCTTATGACTCATGAGTTTTAGGGTCCTTCCTGTGTGGATCCTGCTCATGGCCTTCTTAGACCTGCTGCACAGAGGCATTCCAAGGAATCTTCTAGAGTGTCTATGTGATGGTTACCTAGGAAGTGAGGAAGGAAATGAAGACCCGATAAATGCTCATCTTGCTTGGAACTTCACTTAACTTCCTCTTCTTATTCTCACAATACCCCTGCAAAGTTTATTTTATTTCCTCACCGATAACATCAAAGCTCCAAAAGTTAATTAAATTGGCAATGAATATACATCAAAATCAGTGGTGAGGATAGGGAAGAACTTAGGTGTGTCTGGCTCCAAAGTCTGGGTGCTTTCCACTCTGAAGTAGTGTCTCCCACCTCCTGGCAGGACAGCGTCCTTTACTTCACCAGTACCTGACCCCGCTTGTGACAGCCTCTCCATGTGCATCTGATTTAGCCCCTTCTTCCAGCTCAGCCGCAGAGCTTCTTTTCTTGCATGTTGTTGCTTTCATACCTCTGTTTTCTTGGAGCTCTGTACCTATCCAATTATTTAGCATCAGTCACCTCCAAAGCATTTTTTCTCTTTTTTTATTAGCATATTTATTGTTACAAATCATACTTACTCTTTATGCTCTTATCCAATCTCTCCCCCTCCTCCTTCCCCCTCTAATAACCATAGATTTGCTCTCTCCATCTGATAGATTAACTGTTCCTTTGTTGGTTTGTTGCCTAGATGATCTGTCCAATACTGAGACAGGTGTGATCAAGTCCTCCCCTATTATCGTAAAGTAGATGCTCCTTCTATGAGTCTGGCGTGTCTTCTGCATGGTGGCTGTGAACTGCTGCTATTGAGACTAGCTGCTTTTGCAGCAGCCATGGCAATGGAGGGCTGCCCATGTGAAAATGGTGTTTTTGGTGTGCTTTTTACCTGGTTGCAGCTGGGTTTGGCTTCCCCAGCTCCATGCCTCATTCTAAGATGTTGTTGCCAAGCAGTTGAGAGGGAGAAGGAGAAGGGAAGGCGGGGGGGGAAATAGGGTGGGAAGAAGGGGAAGGAGGAGGAGCGTGATCAAGGCCCAGGCCACCCCCATTCCGGCAAGGAGACCAGAGGGCTTCCAGGAATGGCTGGGTCATCACTGGGCTGGATGTAGATGTCAGGGGTGTGTGGCTGAAACCCTTGGACCCCTACTGCCCTGGCTCAAGAGCCTGGGGCACTTTTTGCAGCAGCTCAGTGGTCATCACTGGGCTGGTTGTGGATGTTGGAGGGGCGTGGCTGAGGCCCTCAGACCTCTCTGCTCCCTGGCTTGGGGGCCCAGGGGGCTTCCAGTCCTTCTAGGTGTTATAGGTGTTCTTTGGTGGTGGTAGACCTTTACTAGTTCATATCCAACTTTGTCTCTGGTCTGTGGGTATTTTGTTTTTTCTTTCAGTTCTGTGTTGGATTATTCACTGTTCCCACCACTTAAACTCTGCACTGGAACTAATTTGTTGTCCTTTGCTTACTTCTAAAATGGAAGAACTTCCTGTGGGGACCAGCCCTTGAGCCCTGTAGTTGGTCTAAATTGCTGCTTTGCTGCTGATTCCCTGGGGAAGGCTTTTTGTGCTGCTCATGTTTTAATGATTGACCTTATATGTACTTCCAGGTCTCATGAGATCTGGTATACTGGGTTGCATGGAAATTCTCATCTGGGCCTGAGTCTTTTCAGCAAACTGCACCTGCTATAGTTCTACATTCCTGACTAGTCTCCACTGAGTGGTCCTGCACTGATTGGAGGGCAGATCAGCTGTCCATGCTGTACCCTGGTGTTCCCCCGGTGGGTCTGTCTCTCCCACTGCCCATGCTCCAAACACTTCTTGTAGGATGGGCCATGCTCTGGTCCCTTGCGATGACTCATTGGCCTCTGAGTAGTTCTTTTTTTCTGTTGTTTGTGGCTCTTCACTCCTATGTTGGTCCATGGGAACCCTGTTAGTGGTCTTGCTTCATCCGAAGGGCACAGCTGCAGCTTTTTTCGGCTCTTGCTCTATGTGCTCACCAGCTTCAGCCTTAAAGCAGCCAGGGCTGGAAATGGTGGGAACGATCCTTTCTTTCTCTCAGTGTGGCTTCTCCTGCCTTCATGCACTCTGTAGGTCTCTCCTCCTTTTCCCCTGAGCTCTAGTGGCCCTGGCTTGGCTGTCATTGCTTTTTAATAGTTGCAAATTGGTTGACTTGTGGGAGAGAGTGATGCCGGGGTCCATCTATTCTGCTGTCTTGACTGGAAGTCCAAAGCATTGGTTCTTAACCCTATTTGGAGCACTGGATTTACTCACAAAAGTCATGAAAGCTCTCCCTAGAAAATGCACTTCATATATGTAGATATAAACATAGATATATGAGGGTACTTCAAAAGATTTGTATTATCTTTTAATTCTATTTTTCTATGAACTTTTTGAAGTACCCTTGTATATATACTTTGTGTAATCTCTTAGGGTATTCATGGACTCTCCCACCTCAGGGTCTTCAGTTTAAAAGCCCTGTTGTGAGGCTTTAGATACATATTGTAGCTTCTCAGATGAAGTATGTGATGGTAATTATTTATTTTGATAGTCTGCGTATATGTCCTCTGAGGTAAGGAAATGTCCTTTTTACTGTTTAGTAATGCACCATTAATGGGCTCCAGAGAAATGTAAGGCAAAATAAGGGATCTGAAGAATACTCAAATACTTATACATAATACTTAATTGGTACTGAATATTAGTAGTAATGCACCATTAATGGGCTCCAGAGAAATGTAAGGCAAAATAAGGGATCTGAAGAATAATCAAATACTTATACATAATACTTAATTGGTACTGAATATTAAGGTTTATAAAAATACTAAACATTCATGAGGGGACTAAGTCATTCTAAATGATATATTTCATGGCCTGTTTCCAAGGAAAATTGTTCAACGGTTTTTGTTTCAATAAGTATATTTTTGTTTGTTTTCTTCCTTCAGAAATGAATGCTAGAGGAGTTATCCTTAATGCATTTGAACGCTATCGCCTAAAAACCTGCATTGACTTCAAGCCTTGGGATGGAGAAGATAACTATATATCAGTGATCAAGGGCAGTGGGTAAGTTGGAGTTAGTCAGCTAAGAGTTCTAAGGAGAACTGTGCCTGGAACATTACATCACTGCAACTGCCCAAGGCCCTGACCTTTGGGTGGGGTGGGGGCTTCCTTTGCTGTTTGCTGGAGGGTAAGAGACAGCTAGATTTCGTTTTCTACCCATAAAAATATTTTCATAAGTGCAACCAGACTACCAATGTTAAGGTGGGTGGATTGCATGCCTTCCAACCCACAACCTTGTAAATTTCAGCCTGTTTGTAATTTTCATACTCTGTATTTCCCCATTTAAGTAAAACACAGATGTGTGTGTATGTGTACATGTCTGTATTTAAATTTATTTTAACTTAAGCTCTATTTCTTGACTTGAGAATGTGACAGTGCTATTTGCCTTGAGCTCAGCAATTGAGTGTTTGCTGTCGCTGTAAAATCCCTGTTAATGGTCATAGTCACAGCAAGAGTGATCTCAAAGACTTTGAAATTCCCAGGAAAAACCAGGACTAAGCTGACTGTGGGATAACTTTCTCCTATGCAATATTTAGTGTTAGGGAAAGTTCTCCAAATGCAAGAGGGAAGTGTCCAGACATAAGAGGGAAGGCTCTTGGTGAGTGACTAAGTGGAGGAGGTAGTGGGGATTCTGTTCTGAGACTTCAGTATGCATCACTGTAATACTTTCTTCCCTTTCTCCTAAACTCTCCTACAAGCTGCTGGTCTTCAGTAGGAAATACACATGTTGGGAGACAAGAACTTTCCATTGGGGAAAACTGTGACAGAATAGCAACAGTTCAACATGAGTTCCTCCATGCACTGGGATTCTGGCACGAGCAGTCGCGTTCTGATCGGGATGACTATGTCATGATCATTTGGGACAGAATTGAGTCAGGTACATTTCTCTTGTTTTCTTACATTTTTAAAGACTGAATTTCCAAGCACATGACCTTTCCTGCCATCTGTGCCTACTGTTAATAATTGAAAAATTCTTATGTTTTGATGTCTTACTTCATTTAGCTTTAACTCAATGTAAGTTGACGCACCTTAAAATTGTTGGGGCACCAGTATCCCAGAACCCTAGTAGTTTTGAGCTAGATATGATCATAGAAACTAGTTTAGTGTTTCCCAAAGCATGTTCTGTGAGTGCTGTGCCACAGTATGTTCATGGAATATGGAAAGGAGTCTGTGGTCAGATTAGTTTAGTAAATCCTAGGTTAAAAGAAATTAAACTTATATTTATACTGCTGTTCAGAGACTTTGTTAGATTGACATGAATTGTAAATCTCCAAAAAGGGCAACATTTCCCAAGGTGATTTGATCCTAGTCTTTTATTCCCCACTTTGTAGAGTAGCTTGTGGAGTATTTGCATTTATTGTTCTCTGGAACCCGTTTTGGGAAATGGTATAGTTGCTGAACAGCCTGAACTTTTTGTGATTTGGGGTTCAAAGTCACAAAGGTCTAGAGGTCTGAAGACTAAAGCTCCTGTTTTCCACATTCCATGGGACACTTAGCTTTTCCCTCTGTCCTGACTGTGTGGGGTATGACGGAGGGATGGTGTTGCTATTGTGTGTGAGGCACTGTGGGGACTGCTCTGTACCCTGACATCACAGTCTTGAAATCCCAGCTCTTGATCTTTATGCTCCCAGTCTCAGTGATCTCAACCAGGGTAAGGCATAGCAGCAAACTAAAAGGTTTCTAGAGCAAGAGAAGTGTTTAGCTTTAATCCATGGCATCACTCTTTGAGTCCCAAAGTCTTATTTTTGGTGGAAATTTCTGCCCACTTTTGATAATGCATCTTTATACTTTGGAGATGAGACCCACCTCATTGTGTTCACAAAACTATTCCATTTCAAGTTGGGATCAGTTGCCCATCAGTATATAATGCTAAGCAACCTGATATCTTTTCTAAATGTATTCATTTTAGTTTATTATCTTTCCTTTTTTTTAATTTTTAAAATTATTTTTCTTTACTTTTTTTGGCATTATCTTTTAATATTAACTTTTCCACGAACTCTTTGAAATGCCTGCATGTTTATGGTGTACAATGTGATATTTTGATATGTGTACACAATGTGGAATGATTAAAACAAGGTAATTAACATATCCATCATGTCACTTATTTTTTGTGGTGAGACATTTGAAATTTACTCCCTTAGCAATTTTGAAGTATACGATACATTATCATCAACTATAGTTACAATGCTTTAAATACATCTACACATATTCCAGTAAATTCCTGACTATGTCAGTGTTTTTGGATGACTCCTATCTATGTTATCATTCCCAGGTCACATGTCACCACCCCTCCCAGTGTCCCCTTACTTTCATCTCCGTCTGCTGTGGATGCTCCCAACATTTCATCATTGCTAGCCAAGGACACTGTTTGAATAACACTTATTAGAATTTTCCTTTCTATTAGCAATTCTTAGAGCCTTAGGCCAAATACTAATGTTTCAACTTTGGGCCATAATGAAACTTTAGATATGTTCAGTGTGACTGCTGTTATCACAATTCTAACCGTGAATATTATATTCTAAGATAGGAATATAGGAAACACTTAAAATACAGTAGATGCTTGTAGCAGAGATTTCTCTTGTTTATTATATTCTCCATTTCTAAGTTAACAGTATTTGGAGTAAAATAAGCTGAATATTGTGAACATCAAGTAATTAAAAACTTTTACATTTGTGATTTAGGCAAAGAGCACAATTTTAACATCTATAGTGACCAAGAATCAGATTCTCTGAATGTTCCCTATGATTACACTTCAGTAATGCACTACAGTAAAACTGCATTCCAAAATGGATCAGAACCAACAATTGTGACAAGAATCTCAGATTTCGAGGATGTGATCGGCCAACGAATGGATTTCAGTGACGCTGATCTCTCAAAGTTGAATCAACTGTATAACTGCTGTAGGTGACAGGTTTTTCAAAACAACTTCTATTTTCCTCTGCAATGTAGGAAAAATGATGGCCTCTGCCATTTTGCTGAACATTCTTGGGTTTTCTGAAATTATAGAAGTTTGATATTAGGAAAAAAGGCAGAATAGCACCTAGATCCCAATCTATAATTTGGAAGCAGCATTTTTCTTCTCACAATGTTTGGCCTTGAGATTTAAAAACAAATTGGGTGCTGTAGGAATTTTTGAAGCTGTTACTAATGTAAATGTGGGCAATTTGAATTTCAAACAACTTTTCAGCTAAAATGAGGTGTACAGTTGTAATATAAATGGGATTAAGTAATCTAGGTTGTGGCTTAATGATTTGAATAACTAGGGGAGTGTAGACTCAGGTTCCTAAAAATTAGATAATTAAAAAAAGTCTTCGGGCAGGCAGCTTATTCAGATCTATGGAGTTAATCTCTTGGCAGGGGTTCTGAAGGTAAAGGGGGATCTTCAAACCACCATTACCCAGAATCAGCTAGATGTTCCCTTTAACGCCATCTGGCATTCCTAATATTTCTGTGATAAGCTACATTTTTATTACTTAGGTTATCATGTTATATGAGTGCCAATAATTGTGGGGTTTTGTGTCTTTTTTTTCTTTTTCTTTTGTAGCTTCTTCCTTGAGTTTTATGGACTCATGCAATTTTGAACTGGAAAATGTGTGTGGTATGATCCAAAGTTCAGAAGATAGTGCTGACTGGCAACGGGTTTCACAGGTTCCCACGGGGCCAGAGAGTGATCACTCCAACATGGGCCAGTGCAAAGGTAACAGGAGTGAGATACTTCTGGATTTTATACTCAGTGGCTCCAGCATTTTCCTTCACTATGGAAGACTGGGATATTATCTCTAATCAAAATTATTAATGATAATCCATTAGGCTGCTACTAAGGAATAGGCCTTGTGCCTTTATATAAGGACATGGTTAATTTCTTGCTTTCACTGTCAGTTTGTTTTTCTTTCTATGAGTCAGATCTGGGCTGCCATGCCTCTCTCTACCAGCATGTGCCCATAGCAGGAGAGAACTGCACCTCCTGGAAGGACTCTTATCTCAGGGCTAGGGTTGTTGTTTTCCAGCAGCTTGAAGAACAGCACGAGGTTGTGAATTATTTAGTTTCAGAATTGTAGCTGGATGTGATGACATGTCCTTGTTGCAAAAATACTTAAAATGAAGGTAGAAAGCACAATTTATTTAATTTTATTCAGATGAGTATCTTTTTCTATTTTAATTTTGTTTTGAATAAAGTGGTCATTTGGTTGCATGTACCAAAGTTTTATTTATTTGCTCATTTCTGGCAGCAAATACGTAAAACTAGAATTCACAACTTAGGGCCATTGCTTAATAGCTCAGATGATCTAAGCAGGCATTGAGGTCTCTAATAGTGAAAAGGTGCTTTTCCTTTTATTTTTTGTTTTTAAATGTGTATTTGGATAGTAGATAGTGGTCCTACATAGATAGGAGGAGGAAGATAGGAAAGGAGGTTGGGAGGGAATGAAGGAAGGAGAGACCAGACCAGGTAACTCACTTTTTTTCTGCCTTTGAAAGCAAATGTCTGTAGTAATAAAAGATTGCCTAACGTTGTCTCTTTCATAAATTGCCTGCTCCTAGGACTGTATTTAAATGCCCAACATAGTGCCCTGTGTATAGTGGGAACTAAGCAAATATTTGAAATAAGATAAAGAAAATGGATAAATACTCAAGCCAGAATTACCAACTCTGTCTTCCTTTAGAAGGTTATTACAAATAATGGAAGCACAGAACTGGGAGGGACCTTTGAAATGATCTAGTCTAGTTATTCCCAACCTTTCCATTATGATACCATTTTTTTTTGTGGCTGGTTGGTACAGGGATTGAACCCTAGACCTTACTGTTATCAGCACCATGTTTTAACCAACTGAGCTAACCAACCAGCCTGAATAAAATCTTTTAAACATTAAAATGAAGACCTTACCTGATGGTTGCTGTACTTTGAATACCTTCTGAAAGTTGAATTACTTTCTTTTTTTTGGGTCAGTTTAGAGCCAAAAGAATTTAGAAAATGTTAAAAAATGGGCAGGTCAACAAGGGCCCTCATTTCCCCATCAGACTCTTTCCTGCCTTCACACAATGTGTGTTCACCAGAAGTACTGACAACCTCACCTTGAGTTAGTCTTAGGAGACACAGATGCTACAACTCTTTACCTATGCAGGTTGTAGGCCCTCTTTTTGACTTCATTTCCATTTTCCTTTTTCATATTCTCAGAGGGGGGACAGGTCTCTGTGGCATCTTACCAGTTGTAGCTGTTCCTACTCAGAACTGGATCAGGGCTGGGGACACTTGAAATGTGTTCCTCACAGATTCTACCTTTTGATCCTGCTGTTTAGGCATGACCTGAAGCCTCATGTTGGATTTTTTAAAAATTAGCTTTTGATACTTAAGCACGCTCTATCTTTACAGCTCATAGCAAATGAAGGTAAGCAAAGATCAGTGCCCACAAGAAAACTCCTACTATTCTAAGGAAACATTGAAGTTTCAATTTTATTCTATTCTGACAATCTGCTAGCTTTTCCAAGTGTCAGATACATATGCAGCTTAGGCTTCTGGAATTTCTACGTGGTGAATTATATATTGGTGTTAGTTATGCCATATGTAAAGGATGTTCCACCACCATTAACAAACACATGTTCCTATACCCAGTATCTGTTTCCTCTCAATTGTACTTTTGTCTTCTTAACAGGTTCTGGTTTCTTCATGCATTTCAACAGTAGCTCTGTAAGTGTGGGGGCCACAGCAGTGCTGGAAAGTAGAACGCTGTACCCTAAAAGAGGATTTCAGTGCTTGCAATTTTATTTATATAACAGTGGAAGTGAAAGTGACCAATTGAACATCTATGTCAGGGAGTATTCTGCAGGCAACGTGAATAACGATTTAACCCTTGTGGAAGAAATAAAAGGTACAATATTAACATCCTTATTGTTTGGGCTCAAAGTGAAACGATCTTAGTTGTTAATGCAACAACTTACAACAGGGTAGGGGCTATGGACTCACTACTTCTCAACTTAGAACTTGATCCTTCTTGTTTTATGTGGTAAGGAAGCTAAAATGAGGATCCTTTGTGTGCTATATACCATGTGACACTCACTGAAGACACTGCGAATCAGTCTCTGGCACTGTGGAGGTCAGTTCTTGGCAAGTTATAAAAATACAGTGTGAACTAGGCAAAATGGAAAGGATTTCTTACTCAATGTAACTATGGAACAAACTAGGGTGGAACTGGCCTCAGGGATGATGGCATCTGTCCCTGAACATTGTTGGGGACGTCTCATTTGATCTCAGAATGGCTTTGTCCATAAGATTGGTTCTTCGGTTGTTTCACTTCCCAGCTTCCGTACTAACAAATGTGCCATGAGAATGGAAAAGGACTCTTAATTTGATCTCAGAATGGCTTTGTCCATAAGATTGGTTCTTCGGTTGTTTCACTTCCCAGCTTCTGTACTAACAAATGTGCCATGAGAATGGAAAAGGACTCTTAGTTTTCAGCTTAAAAAATAATTCCCAGGGCCGGCCCGGTGGCGCACTGCTATAGTGCACCGC